TTAATATTTCATTTCATATCATGGAAGACAAATGACTAGATCACTATCTTCTCTCGGAGAAAATACCATGTGAAAGAAGAACTCGAATTTGTGAAAGATGGAGTGATTTGTATTGTTTAAGGGTTCTATTTTAACTTTGTGGGAAGAAAACATGGTACTTCAATTCAGATTAGAACTTCTTTTGTGTCTCTCAAAGGACCCTGAAGCAAAGTAGTAGATGGTAGGTACCTTGACTTTTTCGAGGTGATCTTGGAGAGAGTCAATGAGGAGATCACCCACGGGCTGCCAGGATCCCTTGATCACCTCAGCTTGGCGCAGCTTGAGGTCCAGCTCATCTGTTGCCTCTTGAAGTTCCTGAAGTCTTCCAAGAGCCTCATCTATTTTTCTCTGCCAGTCAGCTGAGTGCAGGTTCAATTTTTCCCACTCAGTATTGACCTCCTCAGCCTGCTTTCGTAGGAGCCGGGTGACATTCTGGGCTCTCTCCTCAGGAGGCAGCTCTAAATTGGCAATACAACAAGGTTTTAGGGCACACTTATTTTTGTTTTTAAACATGTCAAAAAGGTCATACTGAAGAAAGAAAGAGAGTACAGTTTAACAAGAGGCTAACCTACTGATTAATGGCTCTTTCACGATTTGGCATAAATTTTGATACAGTCCAGCACATCTAAAGTCTGTCTTCCTGAGTGAATCTTTTCTACCTTATATCAATCAGATAATCTATGATTCATTCAAACTATTGAGGAGAAAAATGTTCGGATGCACGCCACAAGCTCTAATTCACTTCAGTCAGGCTCTTACACTGAAAATTAGCTTGTCGTCTTTTTAACAACAGAATTCCTCCTCGCAGATAAACTCCTTTGTTTATTATTTTCTAACTGTTCCAATAACTGATTGCTAATCTCTTTAAATGTTTATTTATGAATGTGCAAACAGATTTATGCGTGATGGTTTATGAGTCCTTATTCTTCTTCAACATCTATGTTTAGTTTGAATTGATTCTATTTAACCTAGAAAATATGAGAGCTTTCCAGACCCTGGCAGCAAGAATGGATGGGCTGCTCTGTCACCACTGATCCTTCTATCAATATGTTATTATAATTCCACATTCAATTACCTCTGGGCTCCTGGTAGAGTTTCTCTAGTCCTTCCAAAGGCTGCTCTGTCAGAAATATCCGTACAGTCTCAAGAGTACTCATGATTACAGGTTCTTTAGTTTTCAATTCCCTCCTGAAGGCCTGTGAAATGAGATGAAAAGAAATGCTTATTTGGCTTGTGGCATTCTTCTCAAAATTAATCCTGGGTGCTCAGAACTTATTTATGAAACTCCCAGGTCAATTTCTATCTCCTTTATTTATAAACTGATAGTCATAAAATGATTTTTTAAAAAAGGCTTTATAGGTCTTTCTGTTAATGAGGAAACCACTATGTTTGTGAAAATATTTTGGGGAGAAGAGGGGATCTTTTTAGATAGTTAATGTCCTCTCATTAAGATAAGAGTGCTTTGTTTATATAACCTGACTGCCAAACTTGAAATCCAGAGCTAAAATTGCAAGGTATATATTGCAAAATCTTAGCATGGCTAATGAGGACTTAAACACACCCAAAAGAATGAATC